ATATATATTTTGAAACATTTCACACGCTTTTATTTAACTCACTCTGTCTGTTGTCATATCCTCAAATCTTGTAACTCAATTTCAACCGTCTTCCCAATGTCGTATCGACTGTAAACTTAGTATAGGTACGTCATACTGATGACAATACTATATTCTATCATGAACATTTTTAAATATATTTTTAACAATCTTTATTACGGGTCTAATTGTCCAACTCACGTTGCCTGTAAATCACCACGGTTCCTGACGTTATGGCAATCTGCGGGGTCACTTCCTGGAGTCGTGCAGTTCTGCCATTACGAGTAGGCCTCGGCAAGGTAAGGTAATGTACCCTTTTTACCGGGTACAAGGGTAAAGGTACAGATGTCGACATGCTAAGGGTAGGGTAAAGGGTAGGGTAAAGGTAGCTCGGAAGAATTACCCGGTAAATACGGTACCTTGTTTACCCCTAAACGCTCCGTGGTGGAGTCCGTGGCCTCCATTTAACAAATAATATTTTTAAAATATTTTTTTAAAACACGCTTTAATGAAATGTACCGTACTCGTAAATTACGAGTGTTTAAAAAAAAAACTTATTTTATTTTATTCGATGTTAATTATTTTTTTATCCTCTTGATGGATCGGTCGCCAACTCAGTCGCGGTAAAGGAATTCCACGCTCATTAAACGCATCGAGTTCAAAAACTCAGCGCGAGGTTCATCATCTTGGTTCTTTTGGTAAAGTCACGTAGGAGGGAAATAATAAAATAATAAAAATAAAACATTTAAGTAAAATTCTCACCACGTTTCGGCCACAACACAAGCAGCCGTCCTCAGGTGAAGAACAGGGCTGTCTGAAAGACAGCGCACCAATGAACACTGCTAAGCTTGGCATCGTATTTTTAAGCTGGGTGGGAGGAGAAGAGCGCCTTTGCAAAGGAGTTTACATATCAACAGAAGAATTTTGCATTGAATAAGCTGTGTTAATGTGAGAGAATTATCAGGATGTTAAAGTCAGAAATTAGCATGTAACTGGGAGATTAGCATGTGAGGAATTAGCATGTAACTGGGCACGGAAGTGGCTATGTTAATCCCTGCAGTCACGAAAGCTTTCAATCGAAATTCATCCCGAGGTTTTGCGACTCGTGTCACGAGCCAGGGATTCACAATCTGGACAGGACAACTCGGTTTACACGCATCCGAGTCCAGAGTAAGCGCTGTCACGGCACTGCCTTTCGACGCGGAGATGAGAGTCTTTAGCAGCGTACTATGTACAGGGATCCCTTTACATACGAACATTGGACTTACGAACTTTCAGAGATACGAACAAATCTGTCCGTATGTCCAGTTGCCTGTTCGGATCGAGAGTAGTAAGTTTAACCACCGGGCAATAGATGGCGGTGGTGTCATCTACATCTGCAGAACGTGAAGAACCAGTGTCATCTACAGGAGATTAAACACGGGGAATGGCTTTAAAAGTTGTATAGTGTACATGCCGTACAACGTGTTTGGAATCGACAGGAGTAAAGTTGGACTTAAGTAGAGGAGGAGTCTGACTGCAGGGATTCATCTTCTTGGTTCTTTCGGTAAAGTCACGTAGAAGGGAAATAATAAAATAATAAAAGTAGCCGTCTTCAGGTGAAGAACAGGTCTGTCAGAAAGACAGCGTCTGTCTTTCCGACAGCCCTGTTCTTAACCTGAAGACGGCTGCTTGCGTTGTGGCCGAAACGTCGTGAGAAGTATTTTATTATGTTTTATTTTTATTATTTTATTATTTCCCTTCTACGTGACTTTACCGAAAGAGCCAAGAAGATGAATTTCCTGTATTAATTTACATACCAGGCCATCCATGTTGATTGAATGTTTATTATTACTATGCTTGTTAACCTAAGGAAACCCTCGCTGGCTTGTTAGTCTCACGACTATTTCAGGACGTTAGTGGCAAGTATTCTCAGTAGGGGCCGATTATATTATTTCCGTGTACATTCCAATCGAGTGCTGTGCAGGAAATTTATTTTGCTTGGTTGGGCTCTAGCATGCATAGTTGTAAAGTTAACTGCGTATATTTTTACTAATACCTGGGTCATGCTCCTCTGCACCGCTATGTATGTATTTTGAACTTTTTGTGCACCGTATGCGCTTATTGGAGGTGCGGGTGAAGGACAAACTTAAACACAAAATGCTGTTCTATAGAAATACGTTTTCAATTTAGATAATGCCGTAATAATCTGGTAAGCGTGCATTCGTCGCTTGTGTTTATTCATGTTATGTATTTAAGGAAACTGCTAGTTTGGTATAGAATCCTGCAAAACTGCCACAAAGGGGTTACGACGGGGGTCACCTACCTCTGCTTGAGCTGGGCTTATCCAGTGAGTCTTTGTTCATGCGCAACAACCTTTACTGGATCGGTCAACGCTACCAGTGGCTCATTTCTCTTTTTAAATATTAGGGTTTGTTTGTACAGCATGGTCGGGATGGCAGAGAGTAACTTGTAACACAGCCAACATGGCCTATATGCTTAAAATAGAGCCGTAAATTTAATTTGTTCAACCAGTTTGAAGGAAGCAGGATTCTTTCAACGCTTGTCTCCTAGTGAAGATTACGCATTCTTCTGTCAGTGGCATGTCAATTTAGCAGCATATGTTTTGCAGGCCTCACCCTGCTGATGAGGCCAGATGGTCGAACCCAGCAGAATTGGCTGCTTTAACGATATTCTGTTTTTAAAACATTAGTGTGGAAGGCAAGTAGACTGTTAGATTAAACATGGATTTTGGAAGGTAAGCAGAGTTGAGCCTTGTTAGTGCTTGGCTTCGTTGGCTGTTGAGGGTGGGTGTATAAGGAGATGGTAGTGCTGAGTATCACCTCCGATAGTATGATTCCTACCGCTTGAAACCCAAGACTCGTTTGTGGAATTGGTAAAACGTCCCAATGCAGGCCAGGCTGCTGCTTAAGAATGTGTCTCAGTGAGGCATACCTGAGTAAATAATTGCCATTATTATGACAATATCATCCCAATGTGTGGTGACTGCCCCCATATGGGAGGTAAGGGAGGAATTGGCAGTCCTAATGTTACATGGCCTACCTTACCCAAGGGTGACCTTTCTCTGGAAGGAACACAACTGTTCCCTTCAAATGGCCTCAAAATCCTGCATTTCACATTCTTCATTCGTGATTTCACACAGCCAAGTGGAGCCCATAGCTCTACACGTCATGGTCATTGATTTTTTTTGTTGGTCACTCAAAAACATATCCCGCCTATAGCTCTTCACAGACTGTTGGAGCCAGTGCCGTTAGCGAGCACCTATGAAGGCCAGCACGGCACAAGAAAGGGTGGGTGGCCAGCACCACACCCGACCGCCTTTGTCTCCCTTGTGGCGATGGTTACACACCACACCAGGTACTCATTTGAGGCTGACTCGACCTAGGAGAGGCCCAGGACCGATTCAGATAATCATCACTGGTGTTGCCCGTGAGCGGGAATCGAACCCCGGTCGCCGAGTTCATAGGGCAGCACGCTAACCACTACAGTACCGCTCCCCAGTGTGCCACCACTCACACACACAGACGCACACATTGCGGGTTCAATATTTACAGACGAGCTATGAAAAGCAAGATCGGCGTACACGGTGGAAAATGTACATCAATCACGCCCCTTGGGTGTTTACGGCATGAAGCACAGGGCACTCGCGAGAACATAAACCAGCTTGGGCATCGGTGCATTCCATCACAGCTTCATCAAAATAAACAGTCTCCCTCATCTGATTACCGCAACTTCCAAACTCCATCTGTCCAGGTCACCCTATGGCCTTGCCCAGCGATCATGTTATCTCTTTTACAACGTGCAAAGGTGTGCATTGCATGTACCACCGCCAGCATGTACCAACCAGCATCATCAGGTGTTTTAACCAAAGCTCAGCTCTCATGAGAGCTGGTGGTCTGCCTAACATGACCTTGTATAGCTATACACGTGTAGCTTGTACACCGGCTTTCTCATGTACATCTGTAACACCGTGTAATTTACGCGTGTATGCAAACCCTGCATACGCGTAGAAGCGACTTTGAACCAGAGAATAAATTGTCTAGGGTACTGACATTTGATGTTGTAGTACAGGCTGGATCCAAGGTACCCAAGCTGTACAGTGATTGCAGCTTTGATCAGGCATTCTAGCCAAAGGATCATCTTCTCTCTCAAACATCGGTCTGCAAAACCTCACACCTGGCATCGCGATGAATTACACGGCCGTTGCTCCCAAACTCTGGAATGCTGCACAAATGATCACGTCAGCCGGTCCCCTCTGCGAACCGTCAATGTTAAAAGCGTTGGTTTTTCAACAGCATTAATCATGACGGCGGGTGGCATGTATTACTGCTGTGCGAGGTTCTTGTGGGCGAGCCGTGGCGCAGCGGGTAGCGCGCTGCGCTACGAACTCGGCGACCCGAGTTCGATTCCTGCGCACTAGCAACACTAGTGATCATTGACTGAACCGGTCCTGTGCCTTCCCTAGGTCGACTCAGCCTCAGACACTTATACATTGCCACTCGGGAGACAAAGGTGACCCGGGCGTGGTGCTGGACACCCACCCCCTCGTGTGCCATGCCGGCCTTCATAGGTGCGCACTAACGGCACTTGTCCCAAAAGTCTTTTAAGGTTTCTATTGGGGGTGTGTGTCTTTGTTGAGGTTCTTGAAGGTATGCTGTTTTGATAAGGTGCCCGATGAAATTAAATGACCAACCTTTTGACACACCATGAATAGACAATGACAACTGCTAACCAATTAACTCACATGCCAAGCAATTGTACAACGCAGCCTCCCTGCGCAGGCTACAATAAGTTTCAAATGAGGACAACTATACACACAGGCAGTGGCTTGTAACCGTGCTCAACGTGAAACCAACATGTTGTGAAGATGCTCACACAACAGCTGAGAGGAATGTGCTTAGGAATTCCTAATTTATGTAATTGTAAGCTCATGACCATTACGATTATACTTGAAAAAAACAAAAGTGACCACAACTCATGCATTATGGTTTTTCTCAAGGCCCATGACTTTTATTTGTTTTGGCTTACACACATTCACATCCTTCGTCAGCATCGGAACCTGTGGCATACCATCGTCCAGTAGCCCGGGGGACATGACCCCTCAGAGCATCGTGGCCGATACCTGCACACGTGCTGCACGAGCAGTTGGAACACAAATGCCTTGACGCACGTACAGTACAGCTTTTACATCTCCACCTGTGTGCTCTTGCACACACAACAATAATAATAATGCCCCCTGTTCATGCACATATACCTAAATGAGAATGCCCCCCCCCCCCCTTGTTCCACGTGTGTAAGCCTCGAGGAGTCTTGAGAATATGTTTGAAAGGAGAGGGCCCTGCATTGGAATGTTTGGAGGGATAAGTTCAGGATACACAAATGTCTGAGTTGAAAGATTTTTCGGTTTTAGGAAAATGTACACGGTCATAATTTAAGTTGTCTTCATGCCGGCAACATGATTCTTGATGACCATTTAATGAGTGTTGGGCATGTGGAAGGAAACTGGAGTATCCCGTGAAGACCAACAAAACCCCATAAGGATATATTTAAAAATGCATTGCTTTTCTGCCATCTTAGGACCACCTCCCATCTTCACCTGTACATGTGTACACAGATACCTATACACCTTTATACAATTACCCTGTACACATACTTTTGCACAACTGTTACGCATGTACACATAGCTACCACAACTTTGTACACCCACACACCTGTAACGCGTACACTTCCTGTTTTTTTATGTACACCTGCGCACCTGTAACACCATGCAATTAACACATGTATGTAAAAGCTACATACACTTAAAAACTACATCCAGGTGTAAATCATGTGCACCTGTAAACTTGTAGGTGAATGCATGTCGACATGTTTTAATTACCTTGTTTGAAAGGACATCCATCTGCATTCAGAAATAAGCAGTATGTGTCTGCATAGGTCGAAATAAATGTGCTATGGGTGGTTAAAGGTAAAGGTGCAGCCCTGCAATTTCTTGCTCATACTGCTGCCTCCACTATTAGAAGAACGTTGTCAGGGACGCTTAAGTCCACTCCAACTGAGTGGCTCCCAGTGCTGTTCCACATTGTCCGACCATCCGTGGAAAAAAATAAAAACCAAACTATGACCTCCGATCAACAAAGTCCTGAACAACCCCACAGTGAACGTGCCTATGATCACACCATCCGTTCTGGGAAACAGCAGAGGGTATCCACGCAGCTGGCACCGAGCTATCCGGATGAATGGAATCGCGGGATACAACGTAAAGAACAGATGCCTCATCACTAACCCCAACAGCGGAGGTTCCTGGCTTCGACCTCAGACAGTGGACGGCACTCAACCGAATCCGCACAATGGGACGCGGAGGGGCAATGAGGCAGTGGTCACCAGCTTCACAAGTGGAAGGCGAGGGATGTGACACCAGACCATGGGATCATAGCGCATCAACTGCCCACTGAGGACTTGTTGTTGGAGCCATTTAATTTCTCCAATTGGCAGCTCAAGAAGCCACCGAAGTGGATCGCCAAATTAGACATCCCATGGTCAGCTTTTCCCGTCATACGGCAGAAAGAGTAGAAGCCCGAGAATATATTTGGTGTACTATACCACACTGACCAGATGGGTTGTAAGAGTTGGGTGTACCCACGCTTTACCTCACCACTCGTGACCTGCCGATCATAGACTAACTGGGCTGTAACCAATCATACTGCTGGGTAGACAGAGGCGGTGGTGAAGTGGGGAGGATTTAAGAAACTTGCCCCATTTTTTTCCACTACTGCGCTAGAAACTTGAATCAAACACACCAACCTCTGGATTACAAATCTAGTGTGCCAACCATAACACCATTGTGGAAGCTCTCATGGGAGGTACTACACAAATGTTAATTTATATAAATTCTTAAGCCCATGATATACACATCAAATCATGTGCATAAAAATCTATATTTTTTGACAAGTGCGTGTTGTATTTCATGATTTTGCAGCCCTACTAGAGGCGTTATAATCAATTCCTGTGTATGTGTGTACATACGTATACAGTATGTTAAACACTGTTTTATCATCACATTTTACAGTATTTCAAATTATATTTTCCATTCCTGCCATTGCCAAATGTCTTGTAAAGGTCACCCATTAGGATGACCGAGTCAGCAGCCTTGCTCTCCACGTAGAGCACTCCACAGTAGATCCAGCATCTACGTTGGGACCTTCACGCAATGCTTCTCAAGGTGGCATCTTCATGCCTTCACAAGGATTCCTCCACATAATGCTCTGCAAGCTAGAACGTTGATGCCCTGCTCCCCAAACCTAGTGCTTCAACACTCGGACCCCAATAGGAAGCATCCTCCTTGGCATGGCCTTCTAAGCTCATCCCTCCCCGTCTGGGCCCTCCAAACCTGGCTCTTCACGGTGAATCCTCCACGTCATGGCCTCTTGTGGTGGACTACGTCAGGCCCTTGACGATGAACCTTCCACTCTGAACACCCCATGGAATCCACACACACCTTGTTCGATCTCATTTGATGGTTCAGCAATCGCTCACGAGGCACCGGGTCCCCGGGCATGTAGCCCTGCGTCCATCGTGGGTTAATCTTGGCGCGTAGGCACAGCGGGAGGAAGGCGATTAGGGAGGTCTCTTGTTTGCATGTCGCCAGTCTCGGGTCTGCATAATTTAAACGTCTCCTTCCGGAGAGCCTTGAGTAGGCGATGCTCGGTCGTTGAAAACAAAAACACCAAAAAAAAAACCCTGCAACCATTGTCTGTTTTTAAATTAAGTGAAGCTGTATACAACCCCATCCTTCCTCTGGGTGAAGCCGGAGGGGCGATAGGCGGGGGGTGGTGGGGTCGGTCGTCATTTGCCAGTACGACGCGGCACGAGCAGTGGACCCAGGATGCCCACGGCAGCGCCAACGGTGGCCAGGAGCCAGTAGTAAGCAGGCGAGCTGCGCCGGCAGGTCATGGTGTTCACCATATCTGCCTGTGCATGCCACATGCAACAGACACAGCACACACACACAAGCACATGCAGTCAGCACATAAGTACACAATACATGCAATACAGACACCAAAGACAAATATCCCACATATAGCCTAAACATACACCATACGTGCGCACACTATGGACACGTACACACTGAAAGCACACAATACAAACTGCACACAATGCACACACACTGAACACTCGTGCCACACACACCACACGTGTTCACACTTTATGCACATATCACCACATGTAGAAAGTATGTGCACACCATTTGTGTGCACTACACAAACTGCATCCATGCACACCACATCCCGCAGCAATAATCATTACTGCCAAGTAACAGCAGGAACACCCAACGCACATGGGTCGCGCACAAATAACCCCCATAAGGCCTGAGAGAATGCTGACGCGAGCACTATCATTCCTTTGTGGGTTGTGAGTGTCACTTAAACAAATTGTTCCTGCTGAATTAAATGAGCTTGGCACATTGTTCATCTGCTGCTTACAATCCAGAGCCTGAGTCAAGACATTCCATATTCTGCGGCAGGAGCAATTTAGTCCGTAGGACACGATTTTTGATAACATTTCAGTGGCATTAATACATATACATGTCTTAAAGCTAGTTCCACCCCGTTCAATTATTGGAATTTATCTGTTTCTCAATTTTAATCATTACTCATAGCACTGGTGACCTAACGCCACGTTACTCGGACCACCTCTCATTGTAATTAGCCTCTTGGATAAGTGTTTCCTGAACCAGGTCAAAGATGATGGTGGGATTGTACATGGCTCACCATTAATAATGGTTCTGTTTGGTCAACATGGGCTTGTAATCTGTGCACTTTTCAGTTCTGTTTGAATTAAAAATGGTGAAATAACGAGGCCGAGAGAGTGGGTTTGTAAAAATGAAATTCATAATGGGAGCGATGTAGCAGCATGCTTGAAGGAAAAACGTTTATAATGAGTCTATATTACCAACTGTGACACACAGATCATATAAGGATACGTAAACAGGCCAGGTGGCTTAACAGCAGAGCGAGCAGCTCGCCATCAAAAGGTTGCAAATTCAAATCCAGATTTGGGGTTGATTTGGCCCATCTGGTTGACTCGGCCCATCTCTGCAGGGTCGATAAATCGAGTACCACATTGTTAACAGTGGCTCTCCTATGAATAGACTGCCCCCCCACACGCCATAGGAATGCAGAATTTCCACCACTCGCTCATCACAATGTTGAAACTCTTTCGCACCGTACATGGCCAATCATGCTAATCGGAGGTGCGAGGAAAGACAACAAAACTGTAAACGGGAGATGAGTAGAAAATCACTGAGAATCCCACCATGGGGGGAAAAACCGGAAAAGAAAAAAAATTCAACTGAAGTGTGTGGAGTCTCGTGGGTGGGGGTGCGTGGTGGTGGGGGGGGTGGTCAGGCGGGACGCACCCATCCCCCGCGGGCGCGGATCCAGGGCACGAGCGTCGCGCTGAAGACGTCGCCCACGCAGTCGACGAGCGCGTGGACCGTAGCCGGCTGGCCCTGCGTCACGCAGTCCACGGCCAGGCCCGCCGACACGGCGAGCAGCGACACCACCTTTGCCCACGTGATGCCTGCGCCACGGTGTGGGGTGGGGGGATCACCACGCGGGGGTCGTAAGGGAACGCACGGAGATGGGCGAGGATGCACGAAGTTGTTGAGCAGTGCCCAAATGGCCACTATGTCAAGCGGCCAGCAACGAACAGCAAGTTACAATAGATGAGAGTGTTACACACTTCTTGAGCAGGGGGAATTGCAAAGTGGCCAGAGGGAAGTGATCAAAATACAGAAATATTTAACGACGTGTAACTTCATGCGTTACTTAGGTTATGGTATCCGAATCCAAAATAAGTTATTTTTGACAATGTCCGCAGTGTTTTTTTTTTTGACAAACACGCAGCTCTAAGGTTCGACTTGGTGACAGATGCCACTCGCCTACCACGTGTCCCCCCTATGACTCCCATGACCTCAGACCAGCCCAGGTAAAGAATGCAGCTCACTTGGGAAATGGAGCTACCCACCCCCACTGCAATCGAGCCATGTGGCCCAGTGGCTGCTGATTCGGACCAGTTATTCAAGCGATAGATTCCGGGCACAGACTACAAGCATGGTTCATGAACAGAGCCAGTCCGTTTTCCCCAGTATCCGTAGGATCGTCATTCGAGGGCCACATGATGACGCATTCTGGAGCGGCTCCAGTGGAGTTGTCGGGGAGCATGGGGAGTGACTCGGGGTGAGGAGCAGCCGGGAAGCCGGGTAGGGGCTGGCACCTGTGCCGAACAAGACGTGAGCCACGGCCTGCAGAGCCTCCGTCACGGCTGCCTCAGACGCCACCGAGAGGCCCAGGTGCTTGTCCACGTTGCGGTAGAGGCTCGGGTACATGTATTCCAGCTCGTCACCTGGCACACAGCACGCAGAGTACACACAAACCCGAAGGATCAATAAACGCCATCGCAATACACACACGTGCGCGCGCAGACACTGACATGCTAATCCAACAACACCTCAATGCATGCACAACTAAACAACCAACACCACAATCACTCAAAAGACAAAGATCCACCGCATAGCCTACACTACTGTTCGCGACAACAGCCTTGGAAGTCCGGCACAGCAAGCAAGAGGATGAAGTAGCCAGCATCACACCTGGCTGCCTTTTATCCCCCCCAATGTTGATGTTTACACACTGTACCAGGTACTCATTTAAGCCTGAGTCGACCTAGAGAAGGCCCAGGACCGGTCTAGATATTTATCACCGATGTGAGCAGGAATACAACTTGGGTCGTTGGGATCGTAGTGCAGTGGTCCAACCAATGCACCATGGACACACGCACCCACACGCACCCACACACTCGACCCCATCACAAAATGTGCAATGTAGAACTTCACTCGTAATATTCTGGATAATAGGAAGTGTGTGTAATGAGCCGGGTGACTTCCTCGTATTCACAATATCCTGAACAAGCGATCACTAGTGAGCCGGAATACTTCCTCTCATCCACAACAACAATGAACAATATGGCGTTACCAGCGTACATCTCGTATGCGTTAGGTATGTAACAAATCGCCCCCCCCCCCCCACGAGATTCGATAAATCGTCGCAATTCAAACTCAAAATGCGATTCGAATATCATCTGTTTCGTCTTATCGAGTGCGCATGTTCCATCACATTTGACGTGTTATACATTCCATCGGCCTGAAGGTAACTAGAGAACATCATTTCCACATGATTTGCATGAATAGTGAATAATTGATTCTTACACGCACGGTTCCATGCATGCGTCGTGAAGCATGAGAATATACTTGTATCATTTTAAATCGATCCGTGCTTGCCCAATCTGCGCCAAGAGATGCGTACACAGAAGGGTAGAAAAACAGCGATCTTCATCACCCGGTCAGCGTCGTCTACGACATGGCAACAGTTAAAACTCAACGTCATCTAATCCGCCACTTGCTGGCGTGGACCTTGAAACCTCCGCAAGGTTTGTATGGAACAAAAACAAAGCAAAAAACAAGGTGGTGGGGGGGGGGGGGGGTAAAAGACGCCCCCAGCACGTGCAGAGAAACATCGGACATAGTGCCGAATAACACGCGGCACAACCCGAAAATGCATCGGAAAGCTGTACAGCAGCAGAACGTACAAAAAACCCAGCGCAGTTGCACTCCTCACGATATTATTATTGGTATGCACAAACAGTGGTCATTGTGCAGTGTGGGCTGACACAATCACTCTGCCGTGATGGCACGTTCTAGGCCAGGGGTCGGCAACCAAAATAACAAAAAGAGCCATTTCTTTCCAATTCGGTACAAAATTCAGTATTTCAAGAGCCGCAATGCATCTGAGTACATACTGTACATACGTACATATCGTCAAGAAGCAGCCCGTAAAGAGCCGCATGCGGCTCCGGAGCCGTAGGTTGCCGACCCCTGTTCTAGGCAATCCCCAGGATCTCAGTGATGGAGCCAGGTCCGAGACTTTTGTCTGTCTATGGAGCCAAGTCCCTGGGGCTGTGCTACAGGAGCCTGGCTGTGGAGAAGGGTCAGACAACAGAAATAGGCATCTGTTTATCTGATAACATACAGATGAACTAAACATGAGAGATGATGGAAATAATATTTGGCAATAAGATATGCTGAATCTTACCTGTTGTTAAAAGAAATACTATTTGCTCCTCGCTTTCAAACGACGAGCGTTTTCGCACACAAAAAGGCAACCAAGTAAATTTCGATTTAAAGCTTTCGTGACTGCAGGGATTCATCTTCTTGGTTCTTTCGGTAAAGTCACGTGACTTTACCGAAAGAACCAAGAAGATGCAACCAAGTAACTTCAAAACTCCAAATTATCCACGACGACAGATATCTTAACTATACATGCGCAAAAAAAACATGCTACCCCAGTCCGATTCCAAAATGTAGCTTCCAATCCCGTCCTGCATCAACGAATTAAATGTAAATTCTGAACGAATGCATGGTTACGGCTGTACCGTGTAGCTGTGGTGTAAAGCATAGTACTGCAGCTAGGCAGCCCTCTCCAGCTTTGCAATGTTTGCATCCTGGCAGCCTTCATTTCTAATTCCTCTGGTCTCTTGCTGGCGGCTGCTTGTTGTATGGTACGCCACATGGCTTTTGTCAGCTGCTGCTGCTCGAGACAGAGCTGTTGAGTCTAAGTGGCTGCCCGCTTGCCTTTTACACAAGCCACGCGACTGAACGATGTCTGGGAGGAGTGGGCGGATTTTTGGCTGCGGGGTCTGTCTCGGCAGCCGTTCAGTTCAGTTTATCCAGTGAGAACTGCAGGCCACATGGTTTTATTGCTACAGGTCGGGCTACAACTGATGGCGAACTGGGTGGCTGAGTGTTGATTGCATATTAAATTTACGTGCGATTCCAAAAAGGTTGCGTGTTTATGACCAAAGCGCCCAGAATGTGCCCGATCTCGCCAGCTCTCAGTCTAAAGAGAGTCGAGTCTGGGCAGTGCTTGGATGGACGACCACCGTGAGACCACAGGTTATAGGCTGTGGGGCTTAGTCAGTGGGACACAGAATGTGATTGGCTACCGATGCCTTTGAAAGTGGCTCAGCAGAGGAGAGCGTGCAGCTCTCGATCAGGGGGGGTTGACTACGCCTATCGTACCTCCGGGGTCGATACATTGTCACCACTTGATTTCCCTTTACTTGTTGTAAACAGGAGATGAGCACGACCTCAATATTCATTCGAGCAGAAAATCAAGTTGACTTTTGACCAGTGCCTTTAAAGGGATGAACTGTGTACACAGTAGGGAAGTCTGATTTTTTTTCCCTGATGAGAGCTGCACTGCTATAGAATGGAGTAAGACCACAGGTGAAACGCGCTGGGCCAAGATGATGAAGTTTGAGGCTGGTAGTAGTTCCTGCTTTAGTTGCACGCAACAAGCCTGTTGAACGAGTACAGTATACGCGGACACATCTCAAACGTATTTTCAAGATAAGAGCTGAACTGCGCAGTGAGATGCCGCAGCGAGGTTGGGGGGGGGGGGGGGGAGACAACACTGCAAGATCACAGGTCAAATTCCTCTCGTTTGTGCCATGAAACAACGGAATTCATGCAAGTCACGACCAACCATCGCGACCAACCGGACTCACCCGACCGGCACTGACATTTCAGAAAAAAACAGAGTGAGGCAAAGGAGAGCCCCGAGCACGTGATGACCTACTCATTAAGCGTATAGCGATGCATCGATTTTTTTTCCAACAAAATATATTTTTTTAAATCGATTCTTGTAATCATGACAATGCTTTGCAATTCATCTGTTAATAATCCATGCGTGGGCTTACGCAGCTGACAAAACGAGCGAGAAACACTTCGAACGAGATGATGAAACGAGACGGGACAACAGTTGACTTTATTGAATCGGATTGTGAGCCTGAATCCCGACATTTGATTCAATCGCTGGGCGTGTGAATCATTGTCGGCCACCGACCAATTCCGCACAGGCCGTGGCGACGTTCGTGCATGTGTAGTGACATCAGTAGTGACTCTCTCGTCTCGCCCTCCCCAAGCCTCGACTCATCAAATCCCTTCGCACCTCAAAATTCCAAATTATCCAGGCACTCTTAAATGAGATGGAATCACCCTGCCGTTCCTCCTCAAAATCCCTCCACGGGATTCCAAACCACTCTCACTGTCTTCAAGATCCTCCATGGACTCGCTTCTGCCTACTTCTCCCCCCTACCCTCCACATAACGCCCTCAATGCATCAGATCATGCACGTCAGGCTCCATTACTCGTGGTGCACGCAAATGTTGCACACGTTGCACACGTTGCACATTCACGTTAGATTTAAGGTAATGGAGGGATCGGAACTGTACAGAGGAGACGGGCCACATAAATAATTGCAAACAAGACCGCAAAATCAAGAATCAATTCTTGAGTCAAATTACGGTCCCGAATTGTAACAATTCATTGCAATGCTGGGGTTGGTGGAATTATACCCTGGCCTCAACCCAACGAATATACACTCTTGGGAGAGTTTAAACAGCGGATAGAAACAAATGCCTGACCGCGCTGTTAAAAATCTTTTTTTCACTATCAATACAAGAAACCTAAAACAACACATTAAAGTGAAGGGAGTTTGTGTTTGCATGTTGACATTTATTGTAAAAAAAAAATGTTTTACAAAGAAACTACAATGTCAAATAATTGTTTAAAAAAAACTGCGATGAGAGCGCAGAGGTTGGAGCTTAGGACGATAACCGTGGCGCCACTCCAGTGGATGCTGGAGGCGCCAGTGGGAGGTGCCGCGAGGTGCCGCGTGTTAATGTGACATCGTCTCGCCCACGTGGGAGTCAAAAACCGGTCCTGCAGTTTTGCTTTCTTGCCCTTCTGTTGCCTGCATTGAAATGTTCCGTAATCTTGGCTCATTTTGAGCTCTTAACCATCATGCATGTATTTACTTATGCAATTGTATTTATATAATGTATTAGTTTTTTTATTTCTGTGACCTGCTAACCTCTTCTTTACGCACCGATCGTTTTTTTGTGTTGTTATTGTATTTTGCTAATCCACCCATGCTGGACGTCTGTGAAAAAGAGCTTCGTAGCTCATCAGATTCTTCCAGTCTAAATATAGATTCTGATGAGGCCATGTGTATAATACGCACACGAAATGGTTACGTCATCTTGACGTAACAAAACATGCTGGGATTCTGGTTGAATTAATCTTAACGCACAACACACGTCATAGAGTTGCCACTTCATCTAAAAGCATTGCCTTGAGTGGTGTATCATTATTATTACGCAAGTGACAAAAACCAGGACTTTTAATGTCCCAGGACAAGAGCTGCTTGAGACAGAGGATGGTCCTGAGAATACAGAACAGGTGGCAATCCTAACGTGACCACAGTGAGGACGTGAGCAGTCTAATATAATCAACAGAAGGCCTCATTCAACCTTGAACGCCCGTGGGTAATAATTCCCCAGGCCATAAACCCAAACAAACCCAGCGTATTTATTACACCTGGCTGTAAAAGCGGCAGACGTGAAACCTGGGTGCAAAGTGCACACCAAAGTTGGCAAATGAATCCGGAAGAGCCGTCGGTGAAATATTTGATCCACATCGGAGCCAAGATTGAATTGCCTTTGGGGTATTGTTATGGGTGTGTGATTTTACCAGGGATTTATGATACATCCGATCATCGATTTCTTATGCTCACAATACACGCAGCGAGACCTGTGATTTATAAGCACATGTTCTCAAACCATGCTCGAACGTGGTTGCGCCGCTCATTGTCCACGTGGCAAATATTTTGTTCGGCGAGGGCTGTTTCCGAGACTGGTTTAAAATGGCGCAAGTAACACCGCTCCTGAGAAAAGTTTGGCTTGAACCGTAGTGACACCGCAAACTTTACCACCCGATTTTAAAGGTCACAGAGTGCCTGTGTCTGAAGCGGTTACTTCCCCATGTCGCTGTGACGGGCAGAATCAATTCAGTGCGGTCGTCATACCGGAAGTTCCACAGCACTGAGATGGCTCTACGAAAGATCACCGATGACCTCTGCAAGATCATGGATGGCCGGTGCGCCGCAGCGTTGGTTAGTCTCGATCTCTCGGCCACCTTCGACACCATCGACCATGAGATACTGACCGGGCGGCTAAGGTCAAGGTTCTGTGTATTGGGTACGGCACTTGGGTGGATTGAGTGATACCTACATGGTCGATAACAGTTCATCAAGCTGGGTGACCTAACAATCATAGCTTATGCCATGCCTAGTTGTCGTACCACACGGGTCCGTCCTTGGATCCTTCCTATTTCCAACATATGTCTCGCCAATCGCCAATATCATCTCATTGGATGACATGAAGTTACATCAATTTGCTGATACACAATTGTACACCGCAGTCCGTCAAAGTTAGATATGCAGAGCCTCGGTAACTTACAAATTGAAAATGTATTTCTTTGGAACTGCTCTTTTGTGTTTAGTTCTTCCCCCTCACCTCCAATTAGCATAGTTGGCTACGTACGGTGCGAAAGAAGTCCAACATACAATGAGAGAGAACATCTTGATATAAAAAGGACCGCAGAGCTTGGGCAGTTGATATACGTGCCGGCTCACTGCCTGGCTTCTGCCTTTCCGCTCCTCTGGTTCCTCCTCACGCTTCCGAGTCGTTCTCTCTCTTCAAGGGCGAACAAATACCACGCGGCGTGTTACAAGTTGCAATTATCATTGTGAAATGATATTTTCCTTCCATCTTAACGGGATCCCAGCACAGGGTGGTGCTGATCACTAACGCAGGCGTTGCGACACGTGGCCCGTGGCACCGGAGTGTAACACAGCAGCGTAAGGGTGTGGCGCGCGCGCGTGCGAGCGACAATCGTCTCACCGAGCAGCAGCACGGTGTTGGACACCTCGGTGAACTTGCTGCAGGAGTGTGCCGACGACTCGGCCTTGCCCCAGCCCAGGCCCGCGCGCAGCAGCCGCCAGTTGATGTAGTCGCGGCAGAGGGCCTTGGCCTGCGTCACGAGCTGCTTCTCGCCGGGGCCGCGCTCCAGCGCGTCCAGGACCTCTACCGACAGCCGCAGAGACGACTGGCGCAGCAGGTCCATGGCTCGCTCGCTCATTGGGCTCTCCGGGCGGCCGCGACGGAGCGCAGCCGCGAAGCGGGCAGGAGCCCACCCCCCCCGCCGCCACCTGCCAGTTTGCCGCACAGACGCTCTGCTCAGATGTCGGGAAGTGTAAAGCGGCTGCGAAATGCGGCGCTTAAGTTTTATAATCGGCACATCTGGTGGTTAAAGTTGATTTTGTTCATCCAGGTGAGAACTCGAAAGATGAGGGTGTAGGAGTCTCATTTGCATGACTTACCTGGGTCACCAAAATTACAAAAGCAAAACCAAAAAACATTTTGAATAAAAACAGCCGTATCGCACAAGGTATTGAAAATGTTGCAAACGTAATTCTCCGCAGCGCAAATCGGCTCGGGCATACTGAAGGTATAGAGTTGCCTTTATATCATTCTGCCACCCGAATAACAAAATAAAATGCCACAATCTCGGCTGTGTTCAGTTGGTGGCCACCACAAGTCTGGAGAATATGCACAAGAATGGTGAAGTCATCTCCAAATGCAAAGATTGCTGGGATTCATTCAACATACAGCCACGTGGCTTCGGGGAGCCACCTCTGAGCTACAAAAAATCTAAATATTTAATGGGAAGAACTGGGGAGAATTATATCTAAACACGCCGTATACAATCATTTCAAAATAGAATCCCTCAACTCATTGCCGTTATTTTATTTCTCTTTCCATCAGAACAAATCTGATGGAGACCTAATTAGACACTGGTCTATTCATACATAACATTTACATAAACCATTATTCCTACGCGATGAAACATTTAACGGCTTCCACAATAAAGCCACTTGTCAATATCGTACACACTATGAACATGCACGTGACGTGCTTTGCTGATCCACACTTGGAAAATTATCTGGTAATTACTACCCAATCAGACAGTATTGTTGATTGATTGCTGCCTTATAGATCCTTATGCATTGCTGGAATTGTCTCCCAGGGCCAAACTGCCCAGAGACAATACGAAAATTTGCCATAAGACATTACACAACACTCAGCACTTCCCAGGTCTGTCTCGCCAACAGAGATGAATTTCAATTGGCTCTTACCTCTTCCTCTTCAACTTAAGGAAACCCTAATCTTTTCCCCTTACAACCTATGTCTTTCCGACAGACCTGTTCTTCACCTGAGGACGGCTGCTTGCGTTGTGGCCGAAACGTTGTGAGAATTGTATTTTATTATGTTTTATTATTTTATTATTTCCCTTCTACGTGACTTTACCGAAAGAACCAAGAAGATGAATCCCTGCAGTCACGAAAGCTTTAAATCGAAAATTTTGGATTTTGCCGAGTGGACTCGGGTGATGGGACTTCCTCCAACGCTCCCGGGGAAACGCACGCCCCTAACCGCCACACCCCGTCTGTTTTGCTTGCCGATTAAATGATTAAGTCAGCCGGCTACTCAAAGTTGCACACAGCTCGAGTTCAAGCTTGGCAATTCAACATTGAGTGCTGGCACCCAAATGGGGCCTCTCACACTTAAGGACGGTGCTTATCATTCCTCCCCCTGAATTCAGAGCCAAAGAAACGTTCTGTGTAAATAAACTTCCGAAGTACATACACACGCCCACGCACAGAAAGGCTAAACTCCTTCTGTTTAGAATTGCAGATTTGCCAGTGCAAGTGCTCAAAGCGAGCAGCAGAATCAGGCCCACGGAGTGCAACGAGTTCGGGGGGTGGTATGGTCATCTCGTATACATCTGGACGCCTCGTGTCTCCTCGCTGGCGAAGCTGACCACATCATCGTAAATGTAGATACAGCATTAGGCTGAGCGAGCAATAAGGGAGCCCAAAGCCACGTTCAGATGGCAAATATCATTATTGACCTTAGAAATCAAACCCGGATGGTCAAGTTTTGGCGGAACATGAGAAGGTGGAGCATTGTTTGAGCCACTCCGCCACCACTCCCTGTACATATATCCTATGGACAAGAACAAAGACGACCCATTGAGATACATAGACTTTCAGAACAAGTGCTGTCAATGCAGGGGCTCACTTACCACATGCTGTACTGCAACAAAGACAAATATCCCCCTTGTAGCCTTAACAGACTGTTGAGGCAAGTGCTCTTAGCGGGCACCTATGACACCCGGCAAAACACACACGAGGTGGTGGGTGTGGACAGCACTGTGCCCATCCACCTTTGTCTTCCCAGTGCTGACGTTTACACATCGCACCAGGTACTCATTTAAGGCTAGGTCGACCTAGAGGAGGCCCAGGACCGGTTCAGGTAATCGTTTACCGGTGTTGGTGGCCGTGATCGCAAATCGAACTCGGGTCGCCAGGTTCGTGGCGCAGCGTGCTAACTACTGTGCACATGGGTAGTGCACTCACGCGCACACAGCCCGTCCACGGATGGTTGCCTTATTTTCAATGCGAGACATTAAAAACACAACCGAGTATAGTCCTATGACTTTAAGTATATAAACCGAAGCCGTCCTGATTTTCCAACTAAACTCTATATACAGGCAGTTGGAAGAGGGTCGCACAGATGACCCAGGATGCTGCTACTGTACGCGTTTAGTCACTGGTCACCAAGCATTGTGTAACGGTACTGGGAAGGGCTATGGATCCCCTGGTAATGTAAACAGCAAGTGTCACAAAACATATCCATGCGGCGCACACAGGAAGCACATATTTATTCAAGATGCACCATCGGTGACACACGTTCATGCAAGACGCAGAATAAGAATGCTCTTTTTTAAATCCAGGAAATCGGAAGGGGGTCCTGCATTTCAGATGTTTGGCCGATTTCATTCAATAGTGTTTGGCAAGTGGCGGGAGAGCGGAATTCCCAGAAAACACCCGCCCACCGCAACAAGGTAATAATTCTCAAAACGTCTGTACAGACGGATTTAATCCTCCACTGGACTGGAGATCTACTCTGCATTCCCAGGTCGAGGTTTCGGTCGATGGGTAACCGAGCTTTTTCCCCGCGTAGCCCCCAGGCTATGAAATGCTCTTTCACAAGATATCAAGGATCTCTGAGTCTGTGGGCATTTTAAAAATGTGTCTTCAAATATATTTATACACTTTCGCTTATTAAACTTTTAGTTCATTTGGTAAATGGATTATAATATAATTATTTTTATGCTGAGTGTCTGCTGCTGTGTCCTGTACAGTGCGTTTAGATCATTGGTGAAAAGTGCTATATACATAGAATTCTTATTATGTCACACAACTTCCCAAACCTTAGACACCTGGTTATTTCCTAACATATTTCTATCCATGGACTCAGCCAGGTGCAAATATATTTAATTAGCATTCCGAGATCTGACTAAATATACATTCAAGATATCAGGATATACGAGCTCGACAAAGGATTTAAACATGCAGGAATGTTGCAAAGTAGCTATATGGCTGGCAGTAAGGCAATGGATTCTTGAATCTATACTTGCGGACCTTTGAAACTGGTCAATCATGCTAATGGAGGACCTTACTGAAAAAGCCTTGAGACTCTGGCTTTTCTCTTATTGCTCAACCCTACCCTAATATCACTAAGCCTGATCTGCCCTAAACTTGGCACAGCCAGTTTTTGACACGGTGCTTCCAAAGGCTTATTTATTTTAAGAGCGGCTCACTCAACTGTGTGGGAGCATGTGAACCATCAGGTCGGGAGCCTCATTTGCAGCGAGCCTGGCACTAATAAGAGCTTCACCATAGCATCATCAGCTCATCAGCACTGATGGGGACAAATTAATATCCGCTGTGGGTTACTCTCATTCGCAAGTATTACTGCGTCATTCCATCTAAATCCTATTCATCTAGACTGTTTACCCCTGCGTGTACATATTGCACTGACGTAGGGCCCTATTTAAAAGGCTTTACATTTGGGCATCACCTCCCCCCCACCATTGGGTTTTTTCTAGAGCCTCTTCATTGCCAAGCATTGCATCCTATCCGGGTTCGTTGACTCCTAACCACCGCGCAGAACAATAGCCACGATCATTTCTTCTTGTAAACGGAGACCCATCATTTCAGCTAGAGGGTCGCTCTCATAGACTAAGTGACTAAAATAGATTCTTAAGCTCAAAGTACGACCATAAATGTGCATGTGAGAATGTATTATTCATGAGCTAAACAGATAATATTCCAGTGTAACTCAAGGCTGATAGAACAGACAGGAAAGATCAAAATCAAAACCATTGCAAATGAGATTAAAATGATGTAATTTTTACCCTGAAGCAGCCCCCTTTCCTGGCCTTAGGGATGCTTCCTCTCAGTAGTGGTGATTGTTATCAGCACGCTAAGCAAAAGCTTTATGCCCCAAGCAGCCGTAGTTGGCAAGGATAAATAAAATAATTAGGTCTTGATTTGAAGCTTTCGTGACTGCAGGAATCCATACTCTTTAGTTCTTTCGGTAAAGTCACGTAGGTAGAAAAATAAAATAAAACAAATCACGACGTTTCGATCGCAACACAGGCGGTCGTCATCGATGACGATCGAAACGTCGTGATTTGTTTTATTTTATTTCTAACTACGTGACTTTACCAAAAGAACCAAAGAGTAAAATAATTAGGATTAATTTAAATAACATTTTATTCTGTCTCTTGTCTACCTCACTATCATTTCACTCCCTCCATCTCGTTTGTATCTCTTCTCAATATGTAGACATTCATTTCATCTCACGATATCTCTAACATCTCTATATTATCTATAATCATTTCTGTATCTCTATATCTGACACGAGGAGTTTCTAAATTGAAAAAGGGTGGAGGCAATATTTTTTTTTTTGTTGGGTCCCCCAATGGGCCAGGGCCACCACCGGCTCATCTAAACAGCGGCACGGATGTCCCGATCACGAGAGACGCGTTCTGACGCGTGTACTGCAGAAACCAACCGTGCGTAAAAACACATCCGGTGAATATCAAACTTCTCTTGGGTTAACATTGAGTACATAATGCTAAAATAAATAATGTCATCATGCACACACATCCACATGGGAGTTCTCCCTTTCACTGCGAATTCCCATGACTTGTGTGGTTCCACACCCACGCAGCCCCAAATCTCCCTTCACTCAGGCCTTGGACAATACTGTACATTTGTCAAGTACACTTTTAAAG